CACGAAAACAACAGATGATTTAGAAACCAATCGGAACTTGATCAGAGCTCGATTAAGTCACACTTTATCAAGTTTGAGGTCAAATATAATATTTATAACCACAAGGGTGGTGCCTGATTGATTTGAGCTTGACTCCAAATGTCAAAAGTACCAGTAGGTCTTAGGTTCAAATCCAAGAAGAAATAAAAATCTTCTTGTGGCCACGGAGGTTCAAATGCGGTGACTCCGGGTTATCTGCAAAGCAGATGGTCACCCTGGGATTAATCGGCTCGCATAGCGGGTTTGATATCCAGGTTAATAAAAAAAAAAAAATTATATATAATAAATATTCATCTGTATTTCACACATTTGTTGAGTCTTGAACCCTTAACCTTTAGAAAACAGGTAGGAGCTATCGACAACCAAGATACGAGTAATACAATCACCTCTTGGTAAACTTGTCTACTTTGTAAACCTTGTGGATATTTTTCTCTATGTTATTTATTTTACGACTTTTAAGTAATGGGTTAGGTTCACGTGAGACCAGTCTGTTTTCGTGAGACCTAGACCATTTTTTTACATTTGAAACTTCACAGTAAAACGCTGGGAAGGTAAAAAAAGCGGAACCTTCACAACAAAAGCACTGTAAAGGTTACACAACAAAACGTGTAAAAAAATGGTTTTACGGGTCTCACGAAAACAGACCGGTCTCACGTGATCCCGATTCTTTAAGTAATAAAAGCAACATTGAAGTCTTTATACCGTTTCAAATATTCAAACATTACAGAAAACAATTGGTTGAAGGGTACAATTTCAAAATAAATGAAATTATAAAAAATAAAAAAATTTCCAAATAAATGAAATTACAATTTCAAAATAAATGAAATTATAAAAAATATATATTAATTATATAATCACATCATTTTTATATAATCTAAATTAAATTAGTTAACAAATAATTGTTAATTTAGGAGGGATATAGGGGTAAAAAGAAACCATTTAGTCCATTACTTCATTATCGCCTTCAAATTTTGGGATTGGTGAGAGTGGAAGTCGAGTTACATAAAATTTAAAAAATTTGAATTTATTTTGAACAATATATTTGTTATGATTGTGTTTTATTCGAACTTTGAACAATTTGTTTGTATTTGTGGTTGTGTTGTGTTTTATTCAAAAAAGAAATGTATAATATTTTTTTTAATTTAAAATTTTAAAATTAAATGGGTCAACCTAGGTTCAACCCATTTATTTAACATGTTGGGTTAAGAAAATCATAAACATATCAACCCATTTAGATAACAGGTTGGATTGAGTTGAAAAATCTCAACCCATTTAATTAAATTGGTTGGATTGCGTTGAGATTTTCAACTTCTTTAATAAAAGGGTTAAACACGAACCCAACCAACTTGACTCATTGCCACCCCTAATTGAAATCACATTGTAAATACATTAACAAAATAAGGTTTTAAATAATGAACATACTAAAATCATATTGTGAATATACTAAGGGGGTGTTTGGTTAAAAGTATTAAACAGTAACCAATTATAATAAAATTATAATAATTTTTTTTTTGTAATATAATGAATCCGTTTTTCCATAAGCCCAAAATTTCATTCATGGTTGAATTGAACGGAATGAAAATTCATTCTCATTTTCATCTCTGTTATTTTTTTTTTCATTCCCGAGCATGAACCAAACAAACCCAGATATATATGATTTTTTTTTTCATAATTTAAAATTTGGTAATCAATTAGAAATCACCAATAAAATCTTGGACTTTGACAAATATTTTATTTTCAAACTAAAAATATTGTTAAATATAACTAATAATACTCAAAAATGTTTTATATTACCTTAAATTAATTATTATTATTTTTTGTCAATTTATGTTGATGAATATTTAAATAGGAAATCAGTGTTTGATATAATTTAAATATTAATATTTAAAATTGTTTGGGATTGCTTATTTAAAACAACTTATGTTATTTTAATTTTGTAAAAATGCTTATTAACTTATGTGGTGGCAAACAGGAGCTTTATAAAAAGTGTTTGGATTAACTTATAATAGTACCACACCGTAGAGATGGCCAAATTGGCCCGGCCCGGCCCCGGACCGTCGGAGGACCGGGACCGACAAAGGACGGGCCCGGGACCGGTTATGGGACCGAAAACCGGGACCGGTTGAGGTTTTTGGTAGTTTCGTGGGACCGGGACCGGGTATGGGACCGACTATGGACCGGCCCGGCCCGAAAATTCAAATAATTTTTATAAATAAATGTATTTTTAAATAATTTTATAATGTATTTTTATAAGAAAAC